ACAGACAGGCTCTGGTATCATGGCTACCTGACAACAGAGCTCAAAGTGTGGGATCATTTTAAGAAAATGAAAGAAAAACCTGTGTAATATCTGCAGAGCAGAACCTGCCTTCTATAGCAATTATTTTTAGTTAGCGTGTAGCTAAAATCTAACCATGTTTATATAATAGCAGCTGCATTCTGATGTGATAAGCTGTATGTTTTATATTCAATTAACTTATGATCTGATTAGTCGACTAATCGAATAAATAATCGGTGATTAATCGATTATTAAAATAATTGTTTGTGGCAGCCCTAGTCATCGGGGGGTCAAAAGTTACAACCCCAACAGAAGATGAAAATTTTCATCTTTTTAGTCTCTAGATTAGGGTGGGTCACCATGCACACCCCACTACTGAACTTCTCTGGTGTTTTCATGTACCCTAGGGTCCACTCTTTCAAAAACTGCATGTTAACAGAAAAAAATTTGGGTCTTGCTGCCCACCAGGGACCACTTTGTGACCACACCCCTTTTCCATTGTGACCATCAAAATTAGGGGGACAAGAAGCTTAACTACCAACAACTTTGCTATAAACCAAACAAATTTTACAAACATGGTATCAGCTGATTCATATTGATTAGCTCTTTGATTTAAATGACATTTCATTAAACAAATTTGCAAACAATGATGTCATTGGAGGGTCAAAATGTTACTACCCCAACAAAATATGACAATTTTCATCTTTTTAGTCTGTGGGTTACGGTGGGTCACCATGCACACCCCACTACTGAACTTCTCTGGTATTTTCATGTACTAAACCTTTATTATCTTTAGAACTATACTACTAACTGAACTCTGATAAATATAATTCATAAATGATCAAATATGAAAAATAGTATGACTGATTGTCACTAGCAAAAGAAAACCTTTGACCATAATAGGTCACAAGTTGCCTTCAAGAAGGATGTCAAATCATCAGTCAGTATGATTACATGAGCTATAATCATATAAATATTCCCTTTGAATGAAGTGTTGATTTTAGGTGAGAAATCTGTGAAACTCAACAAATAAATTAGTGAATTAACTAAAAAAAAGAATTTACCGGTAATTTATTCTTTATAAAGGAACTTTATGTGCTATAATTTTTCAAATATATCAGAGTACCTCAATTCAAACACTATTAAAACAACATAAACTACAGAAAGTTGTTAAAACCTCTCTTTCCTTCAGATATTTGTTGGATGTTGATGCTGCAGGTTCAAGTTCATTTTCAGTGACAGTTGGCTGGATGAGCCATGAATGTATTTAGATGTATTTTCTGTTGGTCGTTTCCAACCAAATAACTGCACTTGTAAACTACAGCTAATTTAACCAAAGAGCACTGAATATCTTTATATTCAATGTGTTTTATTGAGTGGCACACGTGTGCTTGGTTGTAATACAGTAGAATCCCAGAACCATCGCTTATATTTTTGGTCTTAAATTTCATTCGAGGTGGTATTAAAAAGGTCTTAAAAGGTCTTAAATTTGACTTGCTAAAACCTGCAGATACCCTGTCTGAAAGTGGCTAATAGGGTCTCTTGTTTGTTTGTTCAGATTCCATCCACCTGTCCCCCCACCAGATGTTTGTCCACAGTGGCCCCCTCCAAGGATGGGAACTTGATTTACTCCGGCACCATGGGTGCTGCTATTCGAGGTCGGTCTCTTATTATTTATTAAAGAAAGACAATTAAAAACCGGCCCCAGCTTTGTGTCTTCAGCAGGATTTCAGAGGTTCGGTCAGAAGCTGCACATCAAATGTTTTGATTTACTCATAATCAGTGTGAGCACCTCTGGAAAAGCTGGGGTGTGCTAGCTGTTAGCACAATGTGTTAGCACTACGCCTCAGAGAAGCAAATGTTGATGCTCATCAAGCTGGGAAACTAGCTCCAAACTGTTTGCAGTCAATCATTTTAAAGAGAAGTTTATTTATCATTGGAAAACATTTAAGATGGCTGCCAGTCTTCCCAGGAGTGGATATTCTGGCAAATTCACCACAAAGGTCAGACCGTGCAATACTCAGAATTGAGCTGCATCAGACTCTGAAGGCCTCAGTTACAGGTTAAAGGTCGTGATAAGACAATTAAAGACTGAGTAAGTATGGCTGGTTGAATAATTTAACCTTTTCTTTCTTAAAATAAAAGCAGCAGGATGTAAACCTGATCTGTGCCCCATGAAGTCAGATGTCCCTCACTGGGGTCTTACCTAAATAAATAATGACATGTAGGGATTCCTTGTTTTGTTTTTGTGTTTTTTGTTTTTTCATCTGATGTCAGATTTGATTAACATTAGAACCTGCTGGTAAAGACCAGATCAGTTCTATTGTGTCCTCATATGTTAAAACAGATGATGTAATAATACAAACATTTAATATTATTTTTGTATTTACTTTATTTAAGCAGGTAATCTCATTGAGACATGTAGTCTCTGTGTAACTGATGTCATTTGTCACAGTTCTCTCTCTTGTTCAAAGAACATAACACATCATGTTAACAATTAAAGGAAAGAAAAATTAAACACAACCAAAGAGTAAGAGCCTACAGCAGGCTGTAAGATATTAGGGATCCCTGATTAGTTGTAACGGGTCCGATACCAGCATCAAGTACTCGTACTCGTACTCGCAAAAGCCGGCCGATACTCTTAACCGATACCGCTTTTGTCTCCTCCTGTGCTGCGCTGCAACACAAAGAGTAAACAACAGTCCATACCAGGCGGTGGCGCTAATGCACTGACAAGTTATTTCTGAACGCACCCCCGAATAACAGAAGAAGAACGATGACGGTAGAAGAAGAAGTAACGTCGGTAGTTTGGAGATATTTTAAGATCGGCACGGAGGACACCAAACCAGCAGACTGTCTGCTGTGCTCTGCTAAACTGTCAAAAGGAGGAGCGAAAGTTGGATTTTTTAACACCAACAATTTGATTCAACATTTGAGGACAAGACATGACAAAGAATTCAAAGAGTTTGCTGCTGCTAGCAGTAGCCTTCATAAACAGCACTGTATGCAGCAGTTGTTTTTGTTTTTATCTTTCTTGTAGAGCAAACTAAGACATAAGCAGAATATGGAAGGAAGTTTGTTGTAAAAACATTATATTTTTCACTGTGGTTCTTCTGAGATTTTGTTTTATTTGTTCCATTTAAGTTTGAACTGAAATTTACTGCACTTTATTACTATTAGTCATTTTTTTAAGTTTAAGACTGAAGCAGAGTAAACTTCTATAGATGTGCTGCTAAAATTTAAGTTTTACAT